GGGGGAGGCTTCAGCTAGGGGGTTAACCGAAAAATTAACTTCGAACGGCCTTAGGTTTAGAGAGAGTTGACTGTATATCAAATATGTACGTAACTAACATCTTACCAATAGTAAATTGAGACATGTGAATGTCGCCTTTAATTGGACAAATTGATGAGTAACGTCAAAGGAAAACCCAGATTTTGGGTTGTCAAATTATTTATTGTTTACCGGATTCAACTTGACGGCGACACATATTAGTGTAATTAAATATACTTACCGTTACGCATTATGTTTCTGATCAAGGCTAGTAAATAATAAATCATAAGCTTAAAGGCTCTGGTTTTCCCTGGGCGACATCTCAATTGTACTATTTTCCGTATATTAATCAAATTACCAATCTGGTGCAATGTCAACTTACGAAAAAAAACCTTTAAATATTTTTGCCTCTAGTTAAAACTTATATAAATTTAGGCACATAATAAATTTTGCTCATTTTCTGGTTCATTAGATAAGAGATATTTGACGATATTCGATATGAAATATGTAAATAGAAGCTCCTTTTCAAGTTTTATGGGAAAATAAATTGGTGTAACTTTGTGATATTTCAAGAAATTTAGCACAACATCAAAACTTTCATGGTAACAATATATTGCAAATTCAATATTTTAATGGAAATATAGAGTTTATATTATTGTTATCAAATTAATCCAGTAAATAATCATAGTAAGTTTTAAGTTCAGTTTCAGGTTTCACTTGGCAGATCTAGGGCGGTTCAGAAAAAACGAAGATTTAAGTCAGGAGAAGACTTTTATGTATATTACCTTATATTGCTTCGCAGTATAATGACTGCAGAAACACACTTTATCAAACTTTAGTTAATTTTAAGTATGAAAACATTAAATTTTTTTGCCTAGAATTTGGCAAGGATCTTGACATGACAGGATTTTGTTTCTGTTGCACTGAATGAAGGTAATCCCTACAAAAAAATTTTGTCCAAATTTTGTTGGAAATGTTCTAAAAAGTTTCTAAAGTTATTCTGTTTATGTTCAAAAAAATGTTCGGAATGGAGTCGATTTCCGAACATATCGTATACTGTACTGATTTTGTATAATGTTTATACCTAATGTTGCCAACCCAAAAATTTCTTTTTTTACATCGCAGTATAAAAATTGTACAATATCGTACTTGAATTCGGAAAATCGACTCCATTCCGAACATTTTTTTGTACAATGACTACAATAACTGAACAAACTTTTTTTTATAGGGAATTAGTGACCTCAATTAATCGATTGGTGGCGCAGTTACGGAAAATCAATTACATACAATAGATATACAGTAAACATATTTGCTAATCTTGATGTTAAAAAAATATTATACGCAAGTTGAATAAATTTCAATTATGATAATTGCAATTATTTCGTTATTAATTGGCTTCAATTTTTTTATAATAATTTTGATTGATTGTAATTTTTGTATACATATATGATAAAACTTAATTACAATTAATTTTCCGGTACCCCGGTCGAGGTTATGCGTGTAGTGTTGTAAGCAGATTAGGGCTAGTCGACTTAGCCGACCCCTAATCAACTAAGTCGACCCCTAATCAATTAAGTCGACCCCGCTAATCAACTAAGTCGACCCTTAATCAACTAAGTCGACCCCTAATCAACTAAGTCGACCCTTAATCAACTAAGTCGACCCCTAATCAATTAAGTCGACCCTTAATCAACTAAGTCGACCCTTAATCAACTAAGTCGACCAAGTCGACTTAGTCGACAAACTAAAAATTTATTGGTCAAAGTTCGACTATTGTCTTCTTAAGAATTTTATTCGATAATTTGCTTATTGTTTACACAGCAAAAGTAAGAAATACGCATAAGTTCATTATTAGCAAAGCAGTAATAATTCATGCTTTAACCAGTCGAGTAACAATACCCTGAATTTGCCCCTTAATGCTTAGTCGACTAAGTTGACTTAACTGATAAATCAGTCAGTCGACTATTAGTCTATCGATTAACTACACTTATGCGTATCACGATCTTAACCTATCACACAGGTAAAACAATCAACTTTTTCCGCAGGCATTCATTATTTGAAAAACTGTTTTCAGAAAAGTTACATAATACCAAAGATTTTTGATTATTGTTTCACTTGTGTCAAAAACTTTATTATCGGGGATTTCGAGTTGCCGAAATTTTAACATTGTCAAAATCTTGACGTGTCAAGATCCTTTCTTTGTCAGAATTATGCATGTCAGGTTTATAGGCTGTCGGGTTTTTTTGATGTTGGGATTTAGGTATAGTAGAAACATGTAATGCAAGCTTTATGATAATTTAAAATTCAGTATAAATGACTGTACACGTATTGTATCTTCGAGATTTCTGATTTTAAAAATGCGCAAAACCATTTTCTATAACTACTGTGCCGTTTCCTTCGTATTTGTCCTCAGCCTCTACTTACTTTGCTACTTTTCATATTATCTTCATCCTTTAGAATCAACAGTCCCACTATTGCAGATCACAGACGATACCTATACTAAACCTCCTCCGGGTGTGGACCAAAACTTGACAATCTTTATCGGGATTCTGAGCATTTATGAGAAGATCGAGATTAGGGAGTGCTTGCGCAAGTTATATGCACACAATAACGATGCTCTAGCGCGGTATCTCGGTGTTAAGAAATCGCCAGTGACGATTAGGTTTGTCCTGGGGTTGCCAAAGGATGAATATATAGATAAACTGGAGGAAGAGTCTAAAATGTATGGGGACATTGTTATTTTGAATATCACAGAGAATATGAACGAAGGAAAAACGTTTGAATATTTCAATTGGTTTGCTAAGCATGTGAGCATTCTTGTCATTTTATGAGGCTGTGCACGTCAATAAATACTCATTATTTTGAATACGCTTAGAGGGAAGATAATTATATGGTCAAATTGGACGATGACACTTTCATACACCTTATTCACTATTACCGTGACCTTCAAGATTTGCCGAGAGAACGTGTGTACTATGGCAACGCTCTAGGATATAAAGACGGAACATACACATATATGGGAGGTATGTTTTTTATTCTCTTTTATAATCAACGCTTCATGCGCTTTTTGATCTGCTTTTCTTAAATTCAAAATAAGGTGCCGGATACACACTTTCCCGCGACCTCGTTATAGACATTGCTGGATCATACTGGGTTAGCTCATATGTAAGCGGCAATGAAGACTGGCTAGTCGGTGAGTGGATATGTTATGTAGCTAGGGAAAAGATGTACTCCGTGCACTATGTCGGCTTTACAAGTTGGGTACCCAGCCGTCAAAACCCTATCCATGACTTTGACGAGAATCTAGACCTCCATTTCCTTGTCGAGACCATCATGATCCATCAGGTAAAGGGTACTGAGAAGTTGAATGCCATTAAGAATGTGTATTCCGAGTACGAAGAGGGATTGCCAGTGGTCAGAGTCGTTCGGAATTCAACGGCCGTAGGCCTGGCTACAAAGAGGGAGATTGTTCCAAGATGTTGGACTACACTTGAGAGAGAACAAGTGTGGAACCAAGCTTTGCAGAATACTTACAAGAACTGGTTCTATGAAGATTGGGGTTTTAAGGATAGGTGGTATGGGCATTATGGACTTGCGGATAATATAGGGTTTATTTGATAGGAATTTTTATACATTTTTTTTTATTTATTACATAATTTAATAAGTCAAAAACGTTACTTATCACACACATGATAATACGGTCATTGAATTTAATTAAATTTAAATCATAACTAATTTTTGACAATTCCATGCTTGGTTTTAGATTATAATTAAATTTATTTATTACATATTATATATTTTTCGATCAGGGCTAGGTCTAACAAATAACAAAATAATAT